TCAACCGATCACAATATTGCCCTGTATGGGCCCTAAATGCGTAGGGACTTTAGACCGAGAGAAGTACCGGTATTGCCCGTGCTGGTTTCGAGTTTCACACCGAAAGGAACGGCTATTTTTCTAGCTATACACAAGTTAGCCACTTTTGAATGAGACATCGAACGGAAAATCAGCCCACTTTGGTTATTGGGAATAATTACTTCACAAAGTTAATTACTTGTACTCGTTCAACGGATCCGTGTCTGTGCAAAAGCAATCAAAAAGTAAAGCCCATGGGCTATACTTTTATATTGGTTTTGCGCAGAAACGAACCCGTTGCAGGTGCACTATGCACAAAATATAAACATCTTAGGTTTTGTTTTTCATTTAAATAAAAAACAAACAAGTTGAATATTCGTTTGGAGAAAAACATACAGTACATCTTATAGGTTGATGTGTCTACGGAATGTTATTAAGTAATGCACATGATGACCGTCTTGCTGTCGGTGGAGTATTTCCTACTTTTTCCGTTTTTGAGATACCGTAACCTGTTGAAGCTATATACTATTGTGTAGGGCCTATACGTCCAATTTCCTGCAATAGTGTTACAGCCCAGTTAAATACTTCACCAAAAGGTACTAAAAGTCACTGGTTCGAGTGACCTGCTATTATTTTACTTTTGACAATAAGGCGACTGCAGCTTGTAGATTCGAAGCATAGAGCTATATTAAATTCGAAGTCGATCCACATTCAAGGTTTACGTCATTGGCGTAACTATGGTCCCATATGTGAAGGGTGGACTCATGGCAGGGGCACTCAGTTGGTTTTAAATAAACATGTAAGCTCTCTTTGGCTTCTTCAAATCCTAAGGAGTTGGGGCGCACACCTCCAGTTACGCCACTGCAGTGGTTTTCATGTCCGTTTCTTTATTGTATCTGAGATCTCAAGACTATATATGGAGCGAGCGCTGAAAAATTTGTTGCTGTTCAGTAGTCCATCGATTTAAAGGCATGTATTAGCATCATTTGCATTTATCACAGAAGTAGCCCATAAATTATGTATAATACACAAGGAGTGCGCCACGAACGGCATGCTCCTGAGTGTATTAACCTATTAACACCCTATAGGAATGCTTCATTATTGCTTGAACGAAAGACTTTCTACATCTTCATTTTTGAAAAATTGTACTCTTCAGGTATATTTCAAAATGAGGTTGAGCATGAAAACGGTTTTCATGTTGTGGATTCATTTTTATGCCCATGCATAAAAATTATTACATGATTACTCCATGTACCAAAAACTCGCACTTCCACTGGAGAGAAAAGCTTCCACGCTGCTGCCCCAAAACTCTGGAACAATTTACCCTACATCATCTGCCACTCTAGCTCACTAGCAACATTCAACAAATCCCTGAAAACCCATCTGTTTAATTGATCTGTTTAACTGATCTGTTTAATTGATATGTTATTACTTACTCATGTATTTTGAATGTGGTTTATTTCTTGTTCTGTTTTCTGGTGTGTTTTTTTGGACTTTCGTCAATTTTTGTGTAAAGCGCTGTGGTACTTTCTATGACAGTTAGAGCGCTATATAAATGTTCAGTATTATTATTATTATTATGCCTAAATTGAACAGAAAAATGAAATCCATATCAATTAGACGTCATGCATTCGCAGAATTTGTTAAAACAGAAACATTGTATTCATTCACGAGAAAAGAAAATGACGTCACGTAATTGTTATAATTTAGTCAGTTACATAATAAAAGTAACTGATTAAAAATAACAATGATGTGACGTCATTTTTCCCCTCATGAATGAACATTAGCTTCCCATTTTTCTGCGAATACATGATGTCAAATTGATATGGATTGATTTGTTTTTCTTCAATTTAGGCATGGGCCCATTACGAAAAGAACAGCAGTCGTCGAGCTGCCACAGTAGACTAGTGGATAACGAGATGAGCTAGGGATTGCAAGATCCCTGGTTCCAATCCTGCTGTATATGTCCTTTTTTCAAATGACTATTTTTCCTGTCCAACTTCATCGATAGTTTTTATTATCAAATAGCTGACTGGGATTAAAGATCGTACTGAACGTAATTTCCAACGCTGAGTCCATTGACTGAATTTTGGAAATTCAGAGTTCTATGGACGAAATCGTGTTTCGTGATCAAAAAGTTGTACAAGGTTTTTCACTCTTTCCTTGAAAAGATAATAATATTCACTGAGCTGAAATTCAACAGGATACTTAATTTATCTAGTCCCGTGCATGAACTGTTTTCTTTGGTATTTGACTGGTGTTATTATTGGAAACGAACATGAAAAGAAAATGATCATATACATGTGTATGCCTTTAAGAGTGCTGAATTGTGCGGGACCCGGATGTATGATTAAGTGAACCTATCTTTCTACTGTCATGCAATGTGTAACACTAAGTCTTGTGAGGTCTTCGATCTGTGTGATTATCAGTGTTGTAGGTCTCGAGACCGGTCTCGGTCTCGGTCTCGAGACCACTTTTTGCCGGTCTCGGTCTCGGTCTCGGGAGCTGTGGTCTCGGTCTTGGTCTCGGTCTCGGTCCCCTTTGGCCTCGATACTTTGGTTGGTTTCGAGTCGAGACCAGCCAAAAAGTGAGGGGGGCGGATTCCGCCCCCGGCCCTTTAAGGGTTAAGTAAAGAATCAGTTTAGGGCAAATGTGACTGCAGTGTGATGCTAATGGACATGTCTCTCTTCACTTTCTAGTGAGTGAGGCATAGTCCAATAACCATTGCTCCTCTTCTTATTTCTCGTTTTTATTGTGGGATGATCTGTTGAAACAAACACTTTATAGCCATCCTCATTGATTCCAAATACAACTGAGATTTAAATCTTATGAATCAAGACTGAAACATTATTTTTATTTTATTATTTATTATTTTTTGAATATGGGGAACAATCCAACTCTTTTTCCCTAGAAATATTGGTGATTTTTTTTCTATTTTCCTTTTCAATTTTTCCTTTATTCGTGGAGGCGGGAAAACGTTTTGTTTTTTTCATTATATTTATTAATGGATATTCGTTAATTCGTAGACCGTTAAATTGGTATTAGTGGTGGACAGCTGAATTTTGTGATCTCTTTATTAAAGACACGACTTGGGAATATAGACACGACTTGGGAATAGAGTATGCAAATTACGTGAAATGTTCACAGTTACTACTCAATAACATGTTCTTTATCCCAATTATATTTTTTACAAAATGGAGCGTGCCATTTTTTTTTATCATACGGTCACTTTCTTTTTTACTCGCCATGTATTCATCTTTTCATCTGTGATAAACACAAATTGAGCTACTACCATGGTCACACAAAAATAGAGTCTAATTGCCTGCCTCGTCTCCTTCCTAAATGTCAATTGCATTTGCATGAGTCGAGAAGAATTGTGTTCCATTGATCGCTATATGATGTTTACGGCCATCACAATAAACTATTAATATATTGGCAATATGTCGTACTTGTTAATCACTAAAATATTCAAGTAAATTGCCCAGCAAAGTAGCCGATGCGGGCGATACGCTGGCACGGTACAAAACACAGAGAGGCGTGCGCACTGAGCCATGAATCCTAAAAGTACATCTCGCCCACCACATTCAGTTTGTGACAGCGCCCTTCTATTGTGTCGGCCATATTCTCCAATAGGCTAATGACGATGATAGATCAGGCAAATATGGTTCATCAATCTTCTATAGTATATGTAACGTTATTGACATTAAACAAAAATAAAGTGGCATTACATTTCATCCTTAGCCAGGCCTTCTTCAGAGGTAAATGATAGAGGAACAAGAAACAAACAGATAGGGGACTTACAAACATGCAGGGTTGGAAGGAGAATCACAAAGAGGGATGGGGGGGGGGGCAGACCAATCCATATCTGGCTACCATCTCTCAATTTTTTGGTCTACATACTTGTACAAATCTATATTCCATGACTAAAATTTTAAAATATAAATCAATATTTTCTTGCTCCAATTTTTTTTCGAATCAGGTTTACAAGGAGGTCCAATGTAAAATTAAAGTTGCAAGTGGTCATTGCTGAAACCAAGGGGTGGCTGTGGAGTTTAGGGTCCGAGTTTCTATAACAGATGAAACATCCACCTTTAACTTTTTACTTTTGTCAAGTTTCAACATGATCAAGTTTTGCAAAAACTAGTACAAATTGTCGTACTCCTAAGTTAGAGTTTCTTCATCAGATTTACACTTTATAGTAGTTAAACAATATTTAAAAAAATATATATTTTTAAAAAAGTGGCAAAAATATATGGAGTTCATCAAATAAGGTTTTCCCCTTCTTTAAATTAGGTTGTTTCCATTTTTTTTTAATTGATTGTGACAATAACAAATTCTGTTGCCATGTTGTAATTTATGGCATAAAGCAAACACGAAGAGCACTCGCATGACACAATTAAGCAGGTACAAGTGATTCCTAACTTTCAATCACTTCCTTCACATCCCCATGAACATCAACATCTCACGGACAGACTGTTCAGCTGTAATTAGTGTCTTGTTGTTTATTTAGATTATTGTTATTTATTATCCGCGGTCTCGGTCTCGGTCTCGGTCTCGGTCTCGGACCATTTCGGTCTCGGTCTCGGTCCGCCTTGAAGGGGCTGGTCTCGGTCTCGCAACTTCAGGTCTCGGTCTTGGTCTCGGTCTCGGACTATCCGGTCTCGACTACAACACTGGTGATTATCAACGATTAAAAAGTAACATATCAAAATCACTTAATTTATTGAGTCCCGTGCATGAAACAGCCGCTTTACATAGTTGTTGAGCCTTGTAAGATAGTGCTACCAATTAGGAGGTCATTTCCTTACTTGGGGAATCGTTTTTGCTGACTTCGTCTTCAGTCACTTTAATTTCTTTGAAACCTGTCCAAATTTAAAAGTAGGCATATACGTGTGATTTGGGAATGTAAAATTGTGGACTTTTGCATTAATTTTTAAAAAAATATGCTTTCATTTGCCGTTTTTTTATTTTCATTTTCGCAGATTTGCACGTCAGAAGATATTCAGATGGTTTTGTCTTAAACGCCTATTCATTGGATTACCTCGACAGGTAAGTTTGCGTTTTATTGACTTATTCCTAAATCCAAACTTGCTAAGTATTCCAGAAGTCTATTTTTTTCACATGCCGTTTTACATGCCAAGACAGTCAACTTGTTTTGTTTTGTTTGCTTTTCGTTTGATTAGAATCAAAACAAAACTTCCAAATAGTATCTGATTTTCTCATTGCTCCTGATTTTGTTATCTTTTGGTCCTTACAGGATAGAAACGGCGTGATGTGGTGAGTTGTCCCGTGTTGATTGTCCTACATAAGAAGAACAAATAGCCAAAGAGACCACACAAAGTAGCCTTCATATAGCTATGGCTTTCTTCTTCAAAACCACGTCTTCCACTGACTACCCCACGATTAAGACTGAACCTGTGGATGAAACTGTCCCTGATGGAGACAACGTTTCAGGCATGTTTGGAACCTCCACGTGCCAAGAGTGCGGATTCCAGTTCCACAATGAGACATATATTGAAGACCACAGGAGATGGCATGAACACATGCGCAGTAAGACCTCAACAGCACGCAACGGAAATGCGAATCTTGCCGGTGAGACTGTGGCGTTCGGCCAGCCTGAGATGGTTCTCAAACCCTTCGCGTGCGAGTACTGCGGCTGGCGGTTCATCCTGAAGAAGGACATGATACACCACGTCCGAACACACACAGGGGAGAAACCATATGCATGCTCTGAATGCGACAAACGATTCTCACGGGTTCACTCACTAAACCAGCACAAGAAAGTACACGACCAAGAGAGTGCAGCTTGCATCAACTGCGACAAGTGTTCGAAGAGCTTTGGAAGCATGCGTAGTTACGTCACACATTGTAAAAACGCTCATAAAGAACAGATGCAGGCTAAAACCACCACCCATGTTGAAACTGCCGAGAAGGCAGAAGTCAGCCACCAAACTAAGGAGTCATCTCCACATAACGGTGCCGTAACTATGACAGCTCAGTCGTCTGTTTCATCTCCATCTGTAAGTGGACAGGCAGGTAGTTTTAAAAACTCGGACACCGGCAACACATCAAATACAAAACACCTTAAGGAGACAGCTGTGGATAGGAATCACAAACAATTTGCTAATTTCTCAGAGACACCCCTTGGCGGCGGTAAGCGAGGGATTCGCTTCACCTGCCAGTTTTGCGGCTGGGGATTCTGGGATAAGAAGGATAAGAATCAGCATGAGTGGACGCATACCGGCCACAAACCCTACTACTGCAAGGAGTGCTGCAAGAGCTTCTCTCGCAGCCACACCTTGAAGCTTCACATGAGGTCTCACGCAGGCGATCGGCCCTATTCCTGCCCGCACTGCAGTAAAAGCTTCACCAGTGCTAACAGTCTCCGGTTGCACAACAAGGTGCACGCTATGGTGCACAAGCACAGATGCACCATGTGCCCAAAGAGCTTCAAACGGATTGCTGATTTCAGAGATCACCAGAGAGAACACCTCAATAGCGACCCCGTTATGTTCGCAAGATGCTACTTCCCGCTTGGTGCCTCAGACGAAGTTGGAACTGCGAAGACCGCACTGTACCCCATCAGCCTTTCTTTCGCTGACTCTGAGCTCGCCATTCCTCCCAAAGAAGAGCCAGGTTATAGGGCACATGATATCTCTCCTAAACCAGCAGCTCAACACGACGAAAACTCTAGTTCAACATCTGCAAGTGAACTTCCAAGCGGACCTGGTATTAAGTCTTTTCAGTCACAAGACAACCTTCAACCCGAGCTGAGTGTTATGGACTTGCCGTCTACGTCTGAAGAACTACAAGAGAAGGATCGACAAATTTTGATTGATAAATATAACAAGCTTATTTCTGGTCCAAGGCGTTGGCGAGAAGCAAGATTCTCATGCCAATACTGCGACAAGGCTTTCCACGATAAGAAAGATTGCCGTGAACACCAGAACACTCACACTGGTTTCAAACCGTACGAGTGTAAAGTCTGCGGGAAGAGACTATCACGTCAACATTCACTCAAAATGCACATGATGAGCCATACAGGCAGCAAGCCGTACCCTTGCTCATATTGCAATGCAACTTTCCGGGACCGCAGTGGACAGAGGTCCCACGAGCTGACCCACGCAAGGAATAAGAAATTCAAGTGTAAAATTTGCCAGGAAATCTTTCAACAGGAAAGCGCTTTGGCCAGGCATCTGCAGGCTCATCAGAAAAGAAATCCTGAGCTGTTTACCGAGTGTTATCCCTTTGGATACGACCCCCGAGCGAGAGGCGAGGTTCATCTTGACTGGGCAGAGGTGGAGACTGGCCATGTGACCCAGAACATCGTTGTGTCACATGAGGGCGATGCTCAACGCAAAGTGACGCACGAGGACGTCAACGTTCCACGAAACATCTACAGGCGCCCTTTCCGGTTCAACTGCACTTACTGCACTCAGAGATTTAGGGATAAGAGAGACTGGCGCCAACATGAATACACACATACTGGCTTCAAACCGTATTCATGTAAACTGTGCGGAAAGAAACTTTCCCGACTCCATTCCCTCAAGAAACACATGCTGACACATTCAGGGGAAAATACCGTTGCCTGTGAATACTGCACACAGACTTTCCAAAACAGAAGTAGCCTTCTATCTCACCAGAGACACTACCATTCCCTGGTCCTGAGTCACACGTGTTGTATTTGCCAAATGATACACAAGGAACTGGATGATCTCGAGTGCCATATTCGAGGTGCCCATGGTAAGGTTGTGAGCGAGATTGTTTCAAAATTCTTGGGGGATAAGATGGTGGATAGAACACTTGCGATTTCAAATCATTCTGTACCCTCCGAACAACCGGAATACCAGAGAGACAATTTGATATCTGACAAAGCAGATCCAGAAGATGTAATCGTCAAGTACTTATCCAAACAAGAACAGCAATTGAACCAGTCGACCGCTACAGACATTGACAAGTGGTTGGCGCTTCATAGACTCAAGTTCAAATGCAGTTTTTGTGATAAACGGTTCCGAAACAAGAAAGACTGGCAACAGCATGAAAATACCCATACGGGTTACAAGCCGTATACCTGCAACATATGCGGCAAGAAACTGTCCCGTATTCAGTCGCTCAAGGCGCATCGGCTGACTCACACCAATGAACTCCCCTACGTTTATCAAGGCTTCGGCGAAAGCATCAGAACGAACATTTCTTTAGCCGGGCATGAGGCTTCGAAAGAGTGTAAATCATCCAATGCATGGTTAAAGACTGCTGCAGCGACACACACAACTGCGGACGAAAAAGAAGGGCTCAATGAGAACATTGATCTTGAGTACCTTCAAGTTCCTTCGGGACCTTTCTTTTTCAAACAACAGGAACCGAGACCAAGACCAACTGATGCAGGTGAATCGATGTGCTTGTCAAATTCTAGTACTTGGAGTGACCCTAGGATGAGGGGTCTAACAAAGCGATATCGATGCACTTATTGTGGCTGGCAGTTTAGCGGTTCGAGCATCTTCAGGCGCCACCAGTGCAGACACAGGAGAATGATCCGCAAAACAGGGAAGAATAGATTGTCTTGCAGCAATTGCAAAGAGATTTTTCACAAGAAAGAACAACTGGAATTCCATCAAAGATCCTGCGGTTTCCCGTGCAGCTTATGTGCTCAGAGATTCAAGACCATGGACAAGCTCAAAGCGCACTTGGAAAAAAGTCATGCAGACATGGAACCTAAGCAACAACCATGCAGTGAAAAAGAACCCGGCAAATTGCAGCCAGTGTGGCTCAGTTCATCATCGACTGTTGATGAAGATCTTCCGAGCAATGAATCCACAGCCACAGATCTTTCTGTTGTTACAGCAGAAACGCATGCCGACAATTTCCAACCACATGAAGTTGGTGTCAGGGATTCGAAACTTGTGACAACCAAATTGAAATCCGTTGAGAACCCGAAGTCCACATCATCTGTTTCCACTAAGAGAAGACAAACAGGAGCCAAACATGCTGTTGTAACATGTCGAGTCTGTCACAAGAGCTTCTCTCATGGGTATGCGCTAAAGTTGCATTTAATGATGCACGCAAGCGAGACACAGTACAAGTGTCGACAATGCACCAGATGCTTCAGCTCCAAAAAGGCTCTAAAAAAGCACGTAGAGAGCCACGTGTCTCATCATCCAACAAGTGGCTCTGCAGCCATGCGTACAACAAGCGAAATTCCTGCCTGTGTTAGTATCCCAGATGCACTCTCAGGAGCCAGTGGTATCTTGATTCAAGAACCTTCGAAGCCAGGATCGCATTCGGAGCAATCGGAGGCTAGGCGATTCAAAAGCCAGACTCCGCAAACAAAGCCACATAAGTGCGTCTACTGCGGTTGGGGTTTCTGGACACGAAAGGACTGCGTCATTCACGAACGCACGCACACTGGAGAAAAACCATATATGTGTAAAACTTGTGGCAAGAGCTTCGCACGAAGTTACTCGCTGAAACTTCACTCCTTGACCCACGATGGTCTGAAGCCCTTCCGGTGTAGCTATTGTAACAAGGGGTTCGCCAGTGGAGGCTATGTCAGAATTCACGAGCGCATCCACACGAAGGAGAAACCTTACGAGTGTAAGGGATGCACGGCGAGGTTCTCATGCAGCTCTAGTTTGATAAGACATGAAAAATCTTGCAGATTAGAAGATGATACAACCGGTAAGGAGGTACAATCTTAAGCAGTGGATGAAGCATCATACGGGCCCGGTTCATCCTCAGTGAATTATAGGGAGTTCTAACAGATCTAGGACTATCCACTGCAAACTTTATCAATTAATGCACATTCAAGAAGATGGCTTAAACACAGGTATAGTGTCTGCCTCTTTTGTGGTTGTCTTTTCTGCGATGTGATGAAATATCAAAGGTACACTTTATGCCACCGGAAACGCCATCTATTATCGTATCGCATTGCATGTTTGAAAAGGAACTGTGCCCACTCGATGAGTAATGAAAAGCCTATGAAAACGTATAATAAACTGAGATTCGGCGGACTATACAAGCGACGCGACAAATTGATCTTTCGTGCTCAAGATGCTCAGCTGTTCCACGTTATTTGCGTTCGCATTGATCTGTCCTTCCTCGTGCGCTCATTGTGGTTATTTAAAGGTAGAGTCCATCATTTGTAATTTGTGCATTTTGTTCGTTTGAAGCAACAAAAGAGTTCAAAATCTAATGAAGGATACTGAGCAACTAACCTGATGAAGTTTCAGCTAAGCTTCAGCTGTACATTCCGAGAAAAACAGCATTCTAAGATCTCAATTTCAAATCAAAAGTTGCTGAATCATGTTTTGAATTGTTTTGAATTGCAACTATACGCGACGTCGCGCACTGATCCGACGAATTATAACAACCGCGCGCGCGTGTGCGTCGTTCGAATACTTGTGCGCGCTGCGCTGAATAACAAAACGAACTACTAATTTAAATTTTCCTACGGTGCTTCTTAAGAATCACCGTTGGAAATGCCTTCTTTCGTTGATTACTTCAAAATGACAGCTTCCCAGAAAGAATAATTTCACAGGGAGTTTAGTCTCCTTACTATCTTTCAACCAAGTTAGTTTTTCAACAATAATTACGCCAGTTACTTTTCGGATGGCTGCAAATGATGGACTCTACCTTTAAATACCTATTGTCTTTTTGTAACAAAAAGTATGTCTTTTTGTAACAAAAAGTATGTAACCTGAAAGCATTACATGTATTGTTCTTATTGTTAAAAAAGTAATGCGAACACCAGACACATTTCAGAGTGTACATACATAATTGTCATATAACTGTTATATATTAAAGCACCTGTATCCGCCGCAAGCGGCGCTCATGCCGCAAAAAAGTATCTGAAAGTCGCATTCTGAATTAAGTTAAATTGCATGCACAATACAAGCAATATTAAACTTAACCAAACGCTTCCTCGTATAGGTAGGTTTTCATACTTTTCAAAATATCAGAGTTTGGAAATGATGTTTGTACAATGACGCATATTTCATGCAAAACGTATTTATTCCTTTGAACTGCATGAAAATGATGAGTGAACATAAAGAGTTTACAAAATAAATGAACATTTTCCACTGCCCACGTGCTTTGATAATGTAAAATCACTTCAGACACACCTTCGTTTGATAGATTCTTATTATACAAAATTATGAGTCAAGCATGTACATGTTCAAATGTATTTTATTGAGAGGGCTTTTACTGATTTGGCACAGAAATGCATATATGGAAGTACTTTTGACATATTTTGATGCTAAATTAATCGGTAGTAGTTCTGAAAATCTTGTAATATACATCGTTTATATTTTTAGTTGACACCGTTTAACTACATCTCTTGTGGTGTGAGTTTGTTGTGAATCCAATGTTAATTGATGTAGGTTAGCATACTCCTAAATTCCACAAACGTTTTACACTTTTGATTAGATAAAATTACAGTAACTGAATTGAACTGCTTCATTAAACGGGATTCGTACAGCGCCCTCATCTCAATTGCCAGGATGGCTCTATCGCAGAGGGCGTTTTATAAGCTTGCTATAGGGGTGCAACCAAGTAAATACATGTAGGCCAAAAATCCGTCCGCCGACGGAACTCGTGAATAAAAGTTATAAACTCAAAATTCTGAGAGCCATTTGGGGGAATTGGAGACATAATTATGGTACTGTACCTGGGGAGAGGATTATGCTGGTTGAGGGTGGTTGCGCGTTGGCATGATAATTATATAATTATTCCACTGGACCATTCTAAAACACTTGATCGTAGAATATCAATTCGTCTCGAATGTACACAAGTTATCAAACATCCCTTTTTGGTTAAAAAAATAATATGTGTGTAAAGTGCGCGTTTTGAAACAATTAAAATGTTTTATGCTTTTCCTGACAATTACCTGTGGGTGCTGTTGCTGTGATGTCACTTTAGGAACACACTAGCAATTTAAATTGTAAACCCATAATTCTTTTTATTGATTACATTATTTGTGCATAATTTTCTCATTGTCTTATACTGTCATGTAGGCCTAATACTGAAACGAGAAAGCACCCAGAGAGCGCAAACCTCCACCAATGATAAACAATTCCCCGCCATAATGTCAATACATGTAACCCCCCCCCCAAAAAAAAATACATGTACATGGTAAAAATTCCTTAAAACTTCCTCGATCCAGATCCGGAACACTTGCAAAATCTGGCAATTTGTACTACCAAGGAACCCCCCCCCTAACTTTTGTTAACAGACAAACCAACCAAATAACCAACAAACAAAATCCGATGAAAACATAACCTCCTTGGCGGAGGTAATAAGAATGAATCACTGAGAGCACCAAGTAACCACAGAAACCCTAAAAAATCTGGTGGCTTTTTATGCTGTCAAAACTGGATGTGCATGACAGTGAAATGTTTGCCTTGATGACGTCAAGGTTTTACTCATAAATGAGGTATTTTTCATTAGCATAAAAAAGACACCAAAACAGCGCCAATTGTAAATATGAAGATTAGAAATAAAGTTAAAGCACGGGGACACAATGTACATTTCAAGGATTGCATTAAAATGAAAATCCTTGCATGTTCCCTTTAAGACTGCTCCGAGGAATTGAGGCTCCCACATCGCATCAATGCTGGATTTTTGGTGGGAAACAAAATAGGTAATGAATCGCGATGTGTCTATGGCATTTAAAATAATGAAGGCATTGGCCTTTCGGTTCCAAGAGGGTAAATGCATTCAATTTAGGGTACACTTCGTCCGAGTGAAACAAGGACCAAAAGACGAATGGGAGTGAAATGTTTTCAATGGAATAGATGGATTTTTTCACTCAGGCTTTCCCGACCGTGTTTTCTTTTTTCAATTTAAAATTAGAGTGATTTCACGCTAAATCGTCTAGTTCCTACAGTGTCTCCCTGGAAATTAGACTTGAAGTGGATGAGGTAAAACCATATTACCGAGATTGTAAAAATAGGTTTTTTGGGCTCTTGGGTTTATAACCAAAGTGTTTATTCATCCAGCAGACCAACACCCTGTATAGCGTATCATGATATTTGTTCTTCTTCTTTGGGTTATTCGAATTTTCCTGAGATGTACTAAGGCCACAGCAATAGCCTGACACAATGCCCCTGATCCTGCAATTTTTTGCCTGCTCTTGGTTCAACTATTTTTTATCAACAACAAGGATGAACTTTTTTATAGAGTGGGGCGGATCCAGAAATTTTTGCAGGGGGGAGGGGTATCAGCAAAATATTCTGAAATGTAGACGGTTTTTTTTCTCCGGACACTTGACCTCCGACATTCAATAGGGGGAGGGGGGCTCGTACCATGATTTCAATGGGGGCGCTGTTCAAATCCGACCATCCGTTAATATTATAGGACTGTCATACAGAACAGTCTACAAATAGGCCTACCCTAACCAAGCTGGCTCTGTCCGAATTCTGTGCACAGGCGGACATTATTACCAGTACAATTTTTGTTGGGTGTCAGAGCAGGGGGTGGGGGGGGGGGGGGGGGGTGGGGGGTCAGTCGCATTATTTTATGTAATTTCTATGAAAAACATATTGACAGAGCTGGGGGTTGACCCCCCCCCCCCCCCCCGGCGGATCCGCGCCTGGGGACTAGAGGTAGTTCTCGAGGGGCCACTGAACGAGATTGGTCATCGATTAAAACAAGTTCTTCCATCCTGAAGCAAACAAGCTAGGGAGGAAGGCAAGGCAGAAGTTTGTGCAGGGGTGCAGCCTCTGTAAATAGTCCAAATATTACCTACATGGGCCAATTCACGGTTTGTATGCACTCAAATTCTCAGGTATTAGAGCATTTAAAGGTGAAGGCCGTGCAGAGGACTGCGAACTCGCAATTCTGTGAAATTTGGATGAAATTAGGCCCTAAAATTGCTCTATTTTGCAGTGGAGCGTAGGCGTCCATTTCCAAATTGGCGATGGGCTTCAGGACGGCTTATCATGTTTGGATGGAATTTTCTACTAAAAGTCATCGGTTAACCCCCGCAAATGATAAAGGAAATGAAAGATGACGAAATAAGCTTTAATTTGATGTGTGTCTTAACCACCTTGGAGAGTTGGGAGTATTTTTGATATTTTTTTTTGGATACGCGTAATTATCATTGCGCGAGTAATTATCATTGTGGGAGTCGATTTGCAAATCTTCACCACTGATATCTGCACCCGGCCACAACGGCTCTTTGCAAGTCTAGCAGATGTGACCTATGCAGTGACCTTTTACGCGTGATGACGTCATGTTGTGGACGCCATTTTTCGCTCACTGTGCGTGCGCCATTTTCTTGTCTAGTAAAAATTGATGAATTTTGCGTCGAAAATTACAGGTGCAGCAACCAAAAGTATTTTTCAACCGAGCTTGGAAGCTGAACAGATAAAACCAAGGGTCACAAGGAGGCGTTTTGAAAAGAGATGGCGGAGCAGGACAAAGGTGAGATGCGACACACAAGAGAAGTGGACTTTTTTAAACGCTTTCGAGTCAACTCGTACCTTGGGCAACTCGTACCTTGGACAACTCGTACCTTGGACAACTCGTACCTTGGACATCTCGTACCTTGGACAACTCGTACCTTGGACGACTCGTACCTTCAATTAAGACGACTCGTACCATCAGAATAAAAAGTAGAGTACGTGCGTGACATGACTCCGAAACGATACGATTCTTTTCAAGTCAAAGTTAATTTTTATCCCACAGATAGGCATATGTATAAATTTTTCAGATACATTTATTAGATTAGTGATTTATCTGGTTTGAAAGAGCAAGTCAATAGCTACATTTTAATGTAAATATGCATTCTGTGGGGTGTCAGGTTGCTGCGATACAACGATTTTAACATGAACATGTCGTCACCTTATATAAACACTTAATTACACGCGTTTGCATATGACAAATGTGTAACACTGCAATGCTAATTAACCAATGCATAACTATGTATACTGTAGTACATATGCATAGTTTTTACAAGGCATCATTATGTACATGGCTACTTCTCCATGTTTAATAACAGTTTTCATATGTGGTCTGCTTTTTAAGCCGAAGGTCAACAAATTGTTCACGGGTCAAAGGTCACGGGTCAAAGGTCACGGGTCAAAGGTCACGGGTCAAAGGTCACGGGTCAAAGGTCACGGTGAAGTTAAAAATGATGGTTGTATAACTTGTATTTAATAGTAACGTCCAGTGATGACAATACAAAAGTCAGATAGTCCAAAGGTCAGGTCAAGGTCGAGGTTTGGGGTCAATCTGCAGAGGTCAAAGGTCAGGGGTAAAATATTCATACACTTACAATTGAGTATAACACATAACAATAAGCCTCTGTACTGACGATGTCACACATTGTGTACTTTTCCATGAGGCTACAAAACGGTGGTCCCCACCAGGCCGGCTGCACACAAACAAAGTGTCACATCATCAGTACAGAGTCTTGAGTCATGATAAAGGTGAGAGCTGAAAAGATGATTAAGAGGCAAAAAGGTTAACATTTTAGTTTTCTTAAAAAAGTTAAAGCAACTTCCGACACACTTTAAATTACAAACATACCTTGAACGACTTACAACTTACATTTTCAGCAGGTGATTTCTGACCGTGTTGGGACAAAGTTTCGCGGGGGCTTCGTAGCGCGCGCCCGGCGGGCCCGGCGTCATTTTTGATTTTATTGTTTTACAATACAAATCAAGTATTAAGTTTGGATACAAATGGGCTTGGTTATTTCTCTAGTATTATTTTTGTAAATAAAATTCTACCTACCTTAAGTCTTCAAGTAAATTTCAGATCTCCACTTCTTATATCAGCAATGATTTCTGATAATTCTAAATAAACATTCGCCAAACTGTCTTCTCCATGTGTTTCCTGGTACTCTATCAAAAACTCATCAGTGCCTTGCACCCTTGAAGCAATAACTCCTTCCCACCAAACCTCTTCTTTTTCTTCTTTCCACAGGTGAGTGATAGTTCTTCCAATCAGTGATGATGGGTTTCCCAGGACTTGTTCTATGTGTGTGGAGTCAGATGAACTGGAAGCCTGGATCAGTTTTAACAAATTTGCTTGGAGTGTTTCCAGCGAATGTGTCCGTTTGTTAGCGGAAAATGCAAACAGTTCTGGTCCAGCTTTCTGCTGAAGAATTTTTTTGCGTACATTTAGCTGTAACTTAACAGCAATCACCTGCTGTGTTCTGGACTTGTCTTTCAAATGTTGATTCATGTCCTTTTCAGATTTCCATAGTCCCCCATGTTTGGTTATGTCTTCTAGCAAAGTCTCCCTTGATGCTCTTAGATCGTCATCTTTCTGTACCAAATCATTTCGTTTGTCTTCCAGCTGTTGCTTACGTAGTTGGTCAACTTGCTTTTGGTGTTGTCTGTCTTCTTCCTGGCTAAGTTTTGCTTGTTTCCTTGCTTGTTCAAGTAGGACTTCCTTTTTGTCTGAAGATGAAAACCATCTTTCGGTGTCGTTGTTCCGATACATAATTTTTGATTCACTGTATGTTATGTTGGCATTTGGTGCTCGTTTGATTTCAAAGTCTAGCTGACCGAAGACACGTTCTCCGCTAATGTTATGTCCGATGCAGGAGCGTGCCTGTTGCAGAAGGTCGTTATTGGGTTGATTGTACTTGCCGCCTGGAAGTTGGTCTGCGAGCTGCCGGTTACAGTCCTCACATATGTTCTTGAAGAGTCTCTGAAGCAGTTGAGAGGTAGCCTTATCCGAGCTTGATGGTTTGGTTAGTGCTGTGAAAACATCATCTTTGATCATAGAGATATCTCCAAATACAGGAGGGGCACATCCTTTGACAACAGCGCTGGCATCATCAGACCACCCTTTCAGTGTTTCCACAGCTTCACAGTAGTATTGGTTTAACTCCAAAATTCCAACATCACTCTCGATCAACCTCATCCACGGACCTGTCAGATATTTCCCGATTAGCCCAAGTGCCCTGCAAGCGGTTATGCAGTTTTCAGTGTCTAGGTCATGCTTCACTGCTCTCAGACAGTCGTTGGTAGGAGCCCAGACCTTGGTGATGAAATCCAAAAGAAAGCCCTTAAGAAAAAAACATGCACCAGCATTAAGAAAATAAACATGAAAACGGCTTCCCATTATTGGCTGTAGTGGATTTTTCTTTACACCATTCATGTGAAGGTGGGCTTTAATTTCGGATGGGAGGCCTGCTCCATCTTTGAAACACAGACGACACGTTGATTGGATGAGGGCGAAAGCTGCACTACATCCTCGTTTTCTGAAGCTCAAAGTTGTTCCTGAGGATGGGCTTACTTCATCTTCCCATGCTTTAACTGTTTTGTCTGCCGTTTTGGCAAACGTATCTAATGGGTGCATGCCACAGTAGAAATTGTTGATGGTTGTGTTGTCAGCTTCATTCCCCAGCTTTTGGTTAGCACACTTGTTCACAATATGTCTGTCAGTCATAGTGTTCGCAATGTTACTGAGGATGGTCTTTTTCAACCCTGGTTGTTTACAGGAAGTTGCGACACTATCAATTGACGCATTGATTGATTCCACGTAGGACTCTGCGTCACCACGTGCTATTTCTTTTATGCCCACAGTGAATGTATCTGTTGCAGTAGCAATCTGTACTTCACTGAAGTGACGTCGTTTTTTGCTGGTGCCATCATATTTTAATGTAGTGTCTACTGATGACATAAGCTCTTCCCCTAGCTGGATTTTTGAGATCTCTCTCATCTCGGGAACCATTCGCTCACAAGTGCTTGCATCTGGTAGTTTTCCGAGTTGTTTTCCACTGAATTTTTCAACACAGTAACGGATCACTGGTGAAATGTTCGTGGCAGAGACCTGACGACTTGTACAAAAGAAGACGCATTCCCTCACAGATGAGTTGAATGTTTTACCATCTCGCAGTGTTGATATTTCTTCAGCTTTGAGCTCCTCCAATTGCTCTTTCAACATATCTTTCTCAATTTCTAGCTCTGTGACCTTGTTTTTAGTCTCATTAAGCTTTTGAAGGAGATCATCACCTGATGGTGGACTTTGAGGACTCTTTTCACGTATGTCCTTGTACTTCTTGCTGTAGTAGTTTCTGAAGTTCCGTTTTTGCTGTTGAAGCTCTCTGACTCGTGTTTTGAGGTTTTTTACTTCAGATCGAAGTGATTTTATTTTAGAAGTTGCATTGGATGTCTGCTTGACTTCTTGCTTCAACTTCTGTGTGAGTAGGTTTCTCCGTCTTATTGTCTGCTTCAGCTTCTTTATGCACATCACCAATCTGTTTGCTGTTGCTTCACTTGCTGCTGCTTTCAAAGTTGCTGTTTCAGCTTCCTTGGATTTTTCTTGAAGTTCTTTTGCCAATTGCTCTGTGGTTGTTTCAAGGCAACTGCATTGCTCACACCTATGTTTTCTTTGTTTGGGATGTGAGTGGACGAGATCTCGAGGTGTTTTCGGTAAAGAAAAATCCGAATTAAGATATTCTGTTGATGTCACGTGAGACTTATTTTTCCTCAACAGTTTTACTTTTGTCTTCACACGGTGCAGAGCTGATAGCAAACAGGCTTTTGATGGCTCAGTCCATGCTCCATTATCTTGGTAGATCTTTCTGATGATACAGTACACATCATCTTGTGAGTGTCCTCTGTCCATAAGGCTCAGAATTTCAAGGGCAGCACCATTGGAGAGGGGCTCTTTCAGAAGACAGGGTTCTTTACTTTGCATGTTTTTGAGGGATATTCCTGCTTGACAGCAGAATGTGCCAATGTCATCCATTTTCCTACAAAAGAAATAAAGATGAAACGTCATAATTTTGGAGATGCCATACATAAATCTTGACAATCCAATTGATATAAATATTAAATAATTCTTTTTAACAATATTATCAGGAAAGCCTTCTCATATTAAAACTAGTTTGGTAAAGAGTACTAAAGGCAACCACAGAAAACAAAATGAGCAGGGGTTCCCCTGCGGGTGGTAAACCCATTTTTGACTAATAGGTCTAAACTTCCAAACAATTAACAGATGGGGAAAAATTGAGCAGGGGTCCCCCATGCGTGGTTAACCCACTTTGAATTGTAGGGCTAGGCAAAATATTTAAATACTAAAAAAGTGGGGAAAAATTGAGCAGGGGTTCCCCTGCGGGTGGTTAACCCATGTTTAATGTGCCAGTAAAAAATAAATGTAGAAGAAAAATACATGAATAAAACAATTCATGAATTTACTCCAACAGTTCATTTTTTACTGTCACAATTTCACTTTCAACTATAGGCCTATGTTAAACTTAAACTTTTATTTGTTCAGCAAAGTAAAATAATAATAATAATGCTTGATAACCCTTGAAACTATGAAAGTTCTGAAAAGCCAGTCCAGGACCTAATCAAGACATCATCATCGATAAAAAAAAAAAAATTAACAAACCTTTTTTTCCCTTGCATTAAAATTTTAATTAAGAAAAAGATCATTAAAAACTCACCAATTGAAGATTG